GGGGCCTCTTGAGCCGCCTTGGACTCTCTTGGGCCGTCTTGGAGGCCGTCTTGGACCATCTTGGGCGGACTTGGAGGCCATCTTGGGCCATCTTCGCGATTTGTTGAGGATGTCCCGAGCGAAACGGCCGTTTCAGGCATTGACTGATGCAGTTTCCGGGTGGCCGGCGGGACGTGTCGGAGCCCCAGGGGGAGCTTTTTTGGAACAAGAACCAAAGCCAAAAGCCATACCGTTCGGCACGCCAGGCACCCCTTTGATGAAACAAAAGGGGGCGGCGGATATCGAAGACGCCTACGGCGAATCACCGCCGCCCCCTGCCTTTTTGGAAACGCCGATGTGGCCGAAAGTTGGACTAGAGCTTGGCCAAGCTATCGGACCATGAGTTCCCTGAGTCGGTTTGGAAAGCTTTCGGGGAACACATGGGAGAGAATGATTATGAACAGGAAGAGGAAGAGGAAGAAATAGAGTAGGAGGATGAGGGTTGTTAGGAGTCTCTTGGGGCACCCTTGGGGTCTGTTGGGAGCTTCTTGGGGGCCTCTTCGAGGCCTCTTGGAGGCATCTTGGGGGCCTCCTTGGGCCTCTTGGGGGCCTTTGGGGGCTTCCTGGGGGTCTCTTTGGCCGTCTTAGGGCGTTCCTGGTCCGTCTGACGCCGTCTGGAGCCGTCTTGGGGGCCTCTCTGGGCCGTCTTGGGGCCCTCTTGGGGCGCTTCAGGGCCGTCTTGGAGGCCATGTTGGGCGTCTTGGAGGCCTCTTGGGCCGTCTTGGGGCGCTCTTGGGGCCCGTCTTGGGGGGCCCTTGGGCCGTCATAGGGCCTTCTTGGAGGCCTCTTGGGCGATCTTGGGGGCCTCTTGGGCCGTCGGAAGGCCGAAAAGAAGAAAACGCAAACACCTTCAAAAACCTAAGGAAAACCAATGATTTTGGCCTCTTCGGGCTCTCCTGGAGAACGTCTTGGAGGCCTCTTGGGCCATCTTGGAAGCATCTTGGGGCCATCTTGGCCGTCTTGGAGGCATCTTGGGCCGTCTTGGAGGCATATTGGAGCCATCTTACCCGTCTTGGAGGCCATCTTGGCCGTCTTGGAGGCATCTTGGAGGCCATCTTGGGCCAACTTGGCCGTTTTGGAGGCCATCTTGGGCCAAGTTGGGGCAACAAAGGCATTGACAGACGGATTTTCGGAAATTTACGGGTGGCCGGCGGGACGGGCCGAAGCCCACTGGGGAGTTCTTTTAGAAAAAGAACCAAAACCAAAAGTGAATCATCCAGCACGCCGTGCACCCCTGCAAGCAGGGGGCGGCGGATCTAGTGGCCTTCGGCCCATCCCGCCATCGTGCCTGGGTTGGGTTCAGAGGCCTCTTTGATGTTCGTTGGGGTCTCGTGAAAAGCCTCTCGGGGACCTGCCCGAGGCAATTTGGAGGCCTCTGGGGGGCTGGTCTGGGGCCTCTTGGGGCTTCTTTTGGGCCTATCGTGGGTCTCTTGGGGGCCTCTTGGGGCCCCAATTGCGGGCCTCTTGGGGCCTCCCAGGGGCCTGTTGGGGCGAAAATCTAAAATGTTCGGTTCGTAGTCCCTCCTTGGGCCCCTCTTGGGGCCATCTTGGAGCCCTCTTGGGATATCTTGAGGCCTCTTGGGCCGTCTTAGGGCCCTCTTGAGCCGTCTTGGAGCCTTCTTGGGAGCCTGTTGGGCTGTCTCGGGGCGGTCTTGGGGGGCGTCGGAAGCCCGAGAAAGACGAGAAAACAAAAAACTTTGTATCACACATGAAAATCAATTATTGTAATGGCCTCCGGCCAGTGCCGCCGATCCGGGGCGCTCCCGATGCGTTTGGGAACGGACGATGACGACGACGACGACCGACGACCGGGTCAACGACGGACGATGATGACGACGACGTCCCTCCTCCCTCCGCTGCCGTCTTGGTTTCTTGGACCCTCCCCGCCCCCGCTTGAGCTCGACCCCCCCCTCCGTCCCCGCTCGAGCTTCCTCCTTGGACCCCCCCCCCCGCTTGAGCTCGACCCCCCCCCGTCCTCGCTCGAGCTCCCCCCCCTCCTCCTCGATTCTTGGACCCCCCCCCTCGATTCTTGGACCCCCGCCCCCCGCTCTGACCCCCTCCCCCGCTTGAGCTCGACCCCCCCCTCAGTTCGACCCCCCCACTGTCCTCGCTCGAGGCCCCCCCCCCTCGATTCTAGGACCTCCCCCCGCGGTTGAGCTCGACCCCCCCCTCTGTCCCCACTCGAGCTTCCTCCTTGGACCCCCCCCCCGCTTGAGCTCGACCCCCCCCTCCGTCCCCGCTCGAGCTTCCTCCTTGGACCCCCCCCCCGCTTGAGCTCGACCTCCCCCCCCCGTCCTCGCTCGAGTTCCCCCCCCCCTCGATTCTTGGACCCCCCTCCCCGCGCTGACCCCCCCCCCCTGCTTGAGCTCGACCCCCCCAGACCCCCTCCACCGTTCGACCCCCCCCCCGTCCTCGCTCGAGCTCCCCCCCCCCCCCTCGATGCTTGGACCCCCCCTCCCCCCGCGCGACCCCCCCCGCTTGAGCTCGACCCCCCCCCTCCGCCCCGCTCGAGCTTCCTCCTGAGCTCGACACCCCCCCCGTCCTCGCTCGAGCTCCCCCCCCCCTCGATTCTTGGACCCCCCCCCGCACTGGAGCGTTCACTGAATTGCGTGGATAATTCGCCGGATCCCGACCCCCCCCCCCAGAGCGAAGCTTGAGCGAGCTCAAGCCCACGCTCTCAGAAACTCACACGCCCGATCGGCGGATTTTGGCCTTTTGGGGTCCTCTCGGGAGGTCTCTTCGAAGCCTCTTGGGGCGTCTGGGAGACATCTTGGCCGTCTGGAGGTCATCTTGGGCGTCTTGGGACGATGTTTCGGCGCCTCGGGACCCTCTTGGACCGTCTTGGAGGTCTCTTGGGTCCCTCGTAGCCCGATTTGAGGTCCGCCCCTCCCCCCGGCATAATTTCTGGAGCAAGGTAACCTCCCCGGCTGGCTTGGCTGGCCCCCTTCCGGCCCGGGTAGACCCCTCCCTCCCTCCAAATCGACTTGACCAGGCTCCCGGGGGAGGGGTTTCGGGGAGGAAGCATCTCACACGCCGATGAACTCCAAAGGGTCGGCGGATTTCCGGAATCGCCGCTGGAGCTCCCCTGGTGCGCTCCAGTCAGCGAGCGAAGAGCGGTATAAAATAAACTTTTTCGCTGTCGGGGGCGCCTGTCCCTGGGCGGCTGGAAAGTTTATACCCCTACGCCGCCCAGGGACAGGCGCCCCCGACAGCGAAAAAGTTTATGTTATACCGCTCTTCGCCCGTTAATCCAGGGAGGGGGGGCCCAGCGCCGATCCAAGAGAGCAACGCGCTGACCTCCGAAAAAGTGTGCATGCCATCTTTGGTGCTCAAATCCTCGCGCCGTGGGCAGAGCCACCCACGGGGAGGCCTCTCGCAGTCCTCGGCCTCTGGGCCGCCGCCTCCAGATGGACACTGACCTGGCCCCCCCATTATCATCATCCTCATCATCATCCTCATCATCATCATCATCATCATCATCATCATCATCATCATCATCGTCGTCGTCGTCGTCGTCGTCGTCATCATCATCATCACCAGTCAGGAGGGGAAGGGGGAGTTTGCCCCCCCCCTCCCCTTCTGACTGGTCTTGTCCGTGCTCCCCTGGAGCAGACACCCAAACCGCCTCCACGGGGGGCCCTTCCCAGTGGAACCAGAAACACGGCCTGGGGTTTGTAGCGGTTCCCAGACGTCCGGCGCCTCCACTTTTGTCGATGCGTGGGCCTTCGCGGAGGGGTGGACATTTCCCTGCGCATGGGGCCGGGCTCCCTCCCGAGCCGTGTTTCGACGGTCCCTTGGCCCGGCGAAGGCCCCCTCGATTGAGATTTGGGGAAAGACGCGACCAGTCCGATGTTTTCGGAGCCTCGGATTGGGCCTGTGGCCTCTGGGGATCAGACGAGGACAATTTCGGTGTATGTCCTCCTCCTCCTCCTTTTCCTCCTCCTCCTCCTCCTCCTCCTCCTCCTCCTCCTCCTCCCTCTCAGAGCGTCCCGGAAACCGCCGGCTTCGGGCCCTTTTCGCCCCGCGGGGGCCCTCCCACGGGCCCCAGGATCCACGGGTCCCGCGACCGTCGAGAAACGAACGAGGGTGAAAGACCGGGGCCTCAATCACAGGGCAGTGGTCCAGACCTCCAGAGAGGTGCACGCATCGAGAAAACTGGAGCGCCAGATGTCGCTGGGCTGTTTGTCCGCCTGGCGTTTTTGCCTCGACTTCGGCCCTGGGGCGGGTGATCATCGGGCCCCGGGGTCATCAACAACTGATCCAGAACGGGGGACTGGCCCCAGGGACCGGGTCGGGGCTTTGGGGCCGCGCATTGGGAACACGACTCCTCGGATGTTTGGGGACGGGTCCTGAGAAGGAAGGCTTTTCGCAGGGTTTGCACTCTCTGGGCCCTCCCCAGACTCTTGCGCCATCAGGAGCTGATTCAGGGCGAGCTGGTCCAGGGGAGAAGCCTTGGGGACCAGACCCCGTTTCCCTGAGGTCCCCTTTCTTCCACGCCAGCAGCACACACGACGCGGGCCGTGGAAGGGAGGCGAGTCTGACCCCCGCCGAAAGGGGGGGGGAGGGGGGCGCAAGTTCCGAACCATCGCTGCCTCTCTTCCCATTCCTCCTCGCCACCCGTTCCTCTTCTCCCCGTGCGGCCCTCCTTTCGAAGCGTGCCCCCCCCCCCCCCCCTGGCAACCCAGCAGGGCAGATTTCGAGGGCCGCGCGAGCCGGGCCTTCTTCGAAGCCGATGGTCGGCTGCCAGAGTCATGCCTCCGGGATCGGGATCGGCGTCTGTGGGAGGCTGATTCGGGGCCTCCCTGCATGCTTACTCGGGGCATCGATACCCCCTGTTGGACCTGGAGGCGAGTCGCCTCCAGGTCCAACAGGGGGGATCCATGCCCCGCAGCATCTCGCGCGTGCGAGGTGCCGTTCGCGAGGGTCGGTCGCATCACGTCTCGCATGTCGCCCCAAAGCCCATGGAGGCACCCCGTAGCCACCTTGGCTCAAGCCGCTCCGCTCCAGAGCTCGCTGCCCAGGCACTCGCGCACCACCCGGGCACCCCGCCCGCCCTCCACTTCGGAGCCATGGGACAGGGCATGCCGCTCCCCGCCGGGGGCGTGCGCATGGCGGTGCCGATGCAGCGGGGCGAGCAGGCGCAGTGGCCGGTGTCGACGATCCCGATCGAGAGCCTGGAGGCGACGGCGCAGGAGTGGTACCGCTTCCGGGAAAACTCTTGGGGCGTGAAGCTCTACAACCATTATGGCATCTTCATCGCCGCCGTGGTCATCCTGATGGTGCTGCTGGGGCCTGGCTGGCGCCTGGCGATCGCAGGCGCCTGCCGGCTGGACGACTCTGGCCAATGCCACACCTTCCAGCCGAGCACGTGCGACCAATTGCCGGGCTGCATCTTTGTGTACGAGAGGGGGGAAGGCACCTGCACCCTGGAGTCGGCCTTTACCGCGTGCGAGGACCAGAAGGACTACTTCGGCAGGGTGGGCGTGCTGATGCTCGTCAACCCCATCTTGATGGTGGGGCTCGTTCTGTACGTCAAGTGCCGGCTGCTCCCACGGCTCCGGGACGAGGCAGGCGCCCGCCTGGCCGCCCCGCTGTCCCAGGCCCTGGCCGGCACCGGCTGGTCGGTCAAGGCCCACTCGCTGGTCCGGAGCAGAGGCACGCAGGCGCCGCAGGGCCTGCGCCAGGGGTGCTGCTCCCCGGGGTGGATCTGGCTGGAGTTCGTGCCCCACGACAGCCCCGTGGTGGGCGCCCCCCCAGCCGCCCTCGCCGCGCCACCGGCGCCGGACGGCGCGGTCACGGGCTTCGTGGTGGACGAGCCCGGCGTCGCCCGGGCCCGGGAGCTGCAGCCCGTCCTGGCCCACGGCGCGCCCCCGGGGCGCCTGCGGCCGCTGCTGGCGGCCTGAGCAGCGCCTCCGGTTTCTCGGGCAGCGGCCTCGCGAGTGCGAGCAGGCTCGGCGTGCTCTTCGGTCGGCTTTTGCGGCGCGTTCCTATCGCCTCTGCCACAGCTCGGGCCGGGCGAAAGGAGGGGATTGGGAAAGGGGGGGTTACGAAATTCTAGACGCTTCGCGTATCCCCACCAGCCCGTCCAGAAATGAGTCCCAGGGGAGTGGAGGTTATGAGGGAAGCGGGGGAGCATGCAGAAGAACAAAGGGCGGGGTGAGCCGCCATATACCCCAAGAGGGGGAGGATGTAGGAGGAGCCGTCGTCGTCGGAGTAGGAGGAGGAAGAGGAGGAGCAGGAGGAGGAGCAGGAGGAGGAGGAGGAGGAAGATAAGGAGGAGGAGATGGAGGACTGCGAGGACGAGGAGGACGAGAAGGAGGAAAAGGAAAAGGAGGGAGGAGGAGGAGGAGGAGGAGGAGGAGGGGGAGGGGGAGGAGGGAGGAGGAAGAAAAAGAGGAGGAGGAGGAGGACAATGGCGAGCTTGGGGGCCTCTTGGGCCGTCTTTGGGGCCTCTTGGCGGTCCCGGGGGCCTCTTGCGTATCTCGGGGGGCCTCTTGGGGCCTCTTGGGGGTCTCTTGGGGGCCTCTTGGAGGCCTCATGGGGGCCTCTTGGGGCCTCTTGGGGCTCTCTTGGGGCGCTCTTGGGGCGCTCTTGGGAGCCTTCGAGGCGCTCTTGGGGCCATCTTGGAGGAGATCTATCAAAGAAGGGGGGTTCCCCAATTAGCGCTGCCCCTCTAGAGTGCCTCGAATCGCTTCTTGGGCCCTTCTTGAGGCCAAAATCCTTCCAAAACCTAGGTAAAATCCATGTTTTTTGTTTTCTCGTCTTTTCGCTCTTGGAGCCGTCTTGGGCCGTCTTGGGAGCCTCTTGGGCCTCTTGGGGGTCTCTTGGGACCCTTTTGGAGGCCTCTTGGGCGCCTCTTGGGGCCTCTTGGGGCGCTCTTGGGGCGCTCTTGGGGCGCTCTTAGGAGCCTTCGGGGCGCTCTTGGGGCCATCTTGGAGGAGATCGATCAAAGAAGAGGGGGTCCCCAATTAGCGTTGCCCCTCTAGAGTGCCTCGAGTCGCCTCTTGGGCGCCCCAAGAGGCCAAAATCCTTCCAAAACCTAGGTAAAATCAATGTTTTTGCTTTCTCGCCTTTTCGCTCTTGGAGCCGTCTTGGGTCATCTTGGACTCTCTTGGGGCCTCTTGGGGGTCTCTTGGCAACGTCTTGGAGGCTTCTTGGGGGCCTCTTGGGGTCTCTTGGGGCCCTCTTGAGGCGCTCTTGGGGCGCTCTTGGGAGCCTTCGGGGCGCTCTTTGGGCCATCTTGGAGGAGATCTGTCAAAGAAGGGGGGAGCCTTAATTAGCCTCGCCCCTCTAGAGTGCCTCGAGTCGCCTCTTGGGCCCCCCCAAGAGGCCAAAATCCTTCCAAAACCTAGGTAAAATCAATGTTTTGTGCTTTCTCGCCTTTTCGCTCTTGGAGCTGTCTTGGGCCATCTTGGGCGTCCCAACGCGTCGCGGAACGCCCCGTCCAGGTCAGTGGGGAGGGGTAAGGGGAGGGGTAAACCCCTCCCCGAAGGGGAAGAAGGGGGGTTGGCAGAGGAAACTCTCTAAACCACCTACGCCCTAAAGGGCTGGTGGGATTTGCGGCATGCAGCTGGTTTCGGCCTCCCCTAGGGGCCCATTTCTCGATACATAGCCGCCTCCGGCGCTGGGAGGCGCCGGGAAAATCAGCTACGTAGTGAGCTGATTCTCAAACCCCCCCTTTGCTATCCCCCCCTTTCGCCCGACCCGAACAGCTCGGGCCACGCAGGGCGACACCTCTGGGCAGCTAAGCTCTCTCAGGGTGCTTCTCCGAGCCTCGGCAGCCTTCCCAATGTTGCCAAGGCCTTCCGGCCGGTGCCGCCGACCCCAGACGACGACCGCACGGTGGAAGAGGCAGTCGGCATTCGGGAAGGTCGGGATCAGACGCTCTCAAGAGTGCCGGAGAGGCTACACGAGGAGACCAAAAGCTGCCCAAGAACCCCCCCGAAGTTTTGTGGGTGTCTGGGGAGCCTTTTGGGAGCCTCCTGCGGTTTCCTGGCGGTTCCTTGGGGGCGCTTGGGGGCCTCTTGGGGTCCAGGCCTCTTGGGACCCGGGACCCTCTGGGGGGGATGGTATTCTCGCCCAGGACGCCACCCGGGAGCCCCCGCCCGAACCCCCCGGGCACCCCACCCCCCCGGCGGGGAATGGATCAATGGGAAGGGGTTTCATTTCGACTCAACTACGACGTTGCTCAATTTGGCCTAGACTGTTTCGCTTTTGGCTGGCGCGCGTAAGGAGGAGTGCCCAAGGAACAGGGGGGAGCGGCGACGGCGACGGCGACGACGAGTCAAACGAAGCAGTCTCTCGCACACGCCGACAGAGTCGACGGATTTTGTACAGTATACTGTACCTTCTCGGCACCAGCTGCTGCGGAGGACCACTGAGAAGCGAAGCTCTAAAAAGGCCATCGAGGTACCCAAAGGGGTCCTGAGTGGAGCTGTCGGAGCCGCTGGCCGACGCTCCAGCCAAGGATGGAACCCCCAGTCCAATGCCCCTGTGCGCGCTGAACCGCAGAATCGGCCACACGCGAGAGTGACCCTTCGCAGGAGTGGCCTTCGGGCCGCAAGCTCCAAGAGGGGGCGCATAGGGGCTCAAGCCCGAACACGCAGGCCGCTACTGTAACATTCAGGAGGGGAACAAAAACACACAGACACAATTAATCCGCGATCCCCCAGGAAAATATGGGAAAATATGGGGAGTGGTGGGGAAGACAGAAACCCAGAAAATATGGGAACATATGGGGAATCTTTTCATTTGTGTGCATTTCTTTGTGTGTCCCAGGGCCCCTTCAGACACCGCACGCGGCGATCGGCGAGCCGCGCACCCGAGCTCCATGGTTGCCCCTGCGTGCACGGCAGGCTTGCGCCGTGCCGACCGGCGGCGACCCCTTACCGGCCTGGAGCATGTCCCTATCCCTGTGCTGGGCACCTCCTCTCGGGCCGGGCGAAAGGGGGGGATTGGGAAAGGGGGGGTTACGAAATTTGCTGCATGCAGCTGGCTTCGGCCTCACCGAGGGGCCCATTCCTCGATACACAGCCGCCTCCGGCGCCAGGAGGCGCCGGGAAAATCAGCTACGTGAGCTGATTCTCAACCCCCCCCTTTGCTATCCCCCCCTTTCCGACCCGACTATGCTGGGCAACTCCTCGGCACGATGCCAATCTCAGGGATTCCCTTCTTTTTTAAGGGCGAATCCCTAAGATTGTCATCGCCTTCTGGCGTGTCAGTCTTCGGGATAGGGGTACGTTCGAGGCTGGTAAACCCCACCGCGTGCGTGTAAGGTTGAACGCCGCCCGTGGCCCAGAATCGGCTCGTCGTTGAACGATCTGGCGTTCACGGAACGTCCGACCGTTCAGGTTTGAACGATCCCCGCAGTGTCAGGAGCCGACGCTGGGGTCGACACGACGCGAACTTGCCGCAGCCGACAGAGGCGATTGCTGGTACACCTGCTTCCCACCGGGCGGGCTCCGCCGCCGCCAGCGGTGCCTCTGCGGGGCCTCTGGCGTCAGCCCCCCCTCTGCGCCGTGAGGCAACACACGACGGCAGGTTCTTCATGTTGTGCTATATGCTCGGCCTCTAGGGGCCCTCGCAGCGGGGTCCTGGGACCGTCAAAAAAAGGCTGGGGTGAAGTCGGGCACGTCTCTCTGCAGGAGGATTTTTTATTATTACTTGACAGCCAATGTTGGAAGAAACATCCACCAATTTTGAATATGTTTTCTGTTGTGCCATTGAACTTTCCTGAGAGATCCGCCTGTAGGGGGACATGCCCGACCTGAGGCTGGGGATGAAAAGCCTGTCCCAGGGACTGGGCTGAGACCTCCAGGGGTCCGCGATGTGAAAAGTCATCGCGGCCTGTGGCATGCTGCCCGGAGGCTGTTGCGCTTGCGGCTCCGCCAAGTTAACTTGCCTGCGTCTGAAGTAGCACGCCCTCCCGCCCGCGTGCCCGTGCGGCCTCTCTGGGTTCACCGCGGTTGTGCTCCCGCCCCCAACCCAGGCCCAACCCAGGATCCCATCACTCGGGGGTGGACAGAACCCCCAACCGTGACACGTCGATTAGTAGTGAATTGTCCGTTCTCGGTTCTCGAGAGGGCGCCGTGGCCGTTATTTTCCAGGCTTGCGCCCGCCAGGTTTGGGCCCCAGGGCGTTTTTACTAAACCACGTTTTACGAAAGGGGGGTCTGTCCATCCCCGAATAACCGGCGCTTTTCACCTCACGCCTCGGGCCTCGGCGCGGCCGTGGCGCTCCGTCGCCTGCGCGCCCCCGTCTGGTCCCTCCGCGTGTGGGAGCGCGTCCACCACGGCTCCGACGAGAGGAGTGTGCGCCTGTGCTGCTGTTGGGCACGGCTTCAGTCGGGGCCAACATGGGGCAACGTTAGGGGTAAGTCGGGCCTGTCCCCCTACAGGGGGATGTTCGACGAAAAATAAAAGATACCCAAAAATAGTCAAAACATAGTCTGGGGACTATTTTTTGAGTATTTTTTGACCCTCTTGGGGTATTTTGGGGGTATTCTCTATTTTTCGTCGAGAATCCCCCTGTACGGGGGACACGCCCGACATAACGTTAGGGGGAAAACGAGTCAGGGGGGATGCATCGACATCAACTCGCCCATTCATCGCGGATGGCTGACGGGGGCCCGATAGCCCACCCCGCCCAGGACCGTGCGGATTCGCTATTTGGGGGCCTTCTGCATCGCCGATCTGTCGGTCCGTAGCCATTTTGGCTCAGGCCATTTTGGTTCATTGAGCAAAACATCGAACTCGAGATCACCTCAACCAGCTGTAGAAACTTCATTCAGTCCGGCCCACGCTTCCTTGTCAGAACTTAGATTGCACATGGGGCGAACTTCTGGTGTCGCTTATCAACGTGTGTCTGTAGTTGATGATATTTTGGATCGGTTGTAGTCGTGGTGATTGACCCATGGGCCTTGATACATGGGTCCATGGTGTTGCACGCTGCATCGGCAGCACAGTCTCCTGAATATCACTCTTCGCAGACAGTGCCGTCACAGTCGCTTCTGGAACAGGCAACGACTCCACGATCGTCTTCACAGCCAGCACTGCAAAAGCCGATTCATGAGCAGACTGCGACTCAGCATGCCAGCGGCCAGTCGTATACTTTCCAGCAGCTCACTGAAGCAAGTAAGAGTGGCCCTGTTGTTGGTGGCCCCGTGAAGCTGAATGAGGTAGCCCAGCAAATCGTGAAATCTGGCTGGCAGCTGCTGAACTTGTCTGCCCAAACTGTTCAACTTGTGCTGGATGCAGTTCCCATTGATCTTGAACGGCAGCCAGAGCCACGTGCAATAGTGTATTCCTTAGGCTCCTCGGAAGGCAGGCTACACTTACCGCCCGTGGAGTACAGCTTGATCGTCAATATGCATAACTGGTATAATAAGCTTGTGACTGTCCTGGACTTCTTATTTGATCACCCCGAGAGGGTCTTTCGAACTTCTTGCATTTTGCGATGTCTGCAACGCGAGAACTTTGCAACGAGCCGAGGAAGCCTTCGATACTTACCCGCCGGTTGTCTGGAACGGGAGCGTCACGGCGTGCAGCCCGGAATTTCTCAGGAACGTCACCGGGCACGTGAGGCGTGGGAAAGCGAACCAGCGTTGCAGCCAAGACGCTGAAATAAGGAAAAGGTTGGATTCGGAAGGGGCTCGATGTTCTTTACGTCCTTCCGTGGTTGTTCCTCTAGCCCTTCTCGTGCACCCCAGCTTTTTTGAAGCCACAGAGGGGCTTCGTTCCTTATTTAGCGTTCCTTATTTCAGCAGCCCGACTGCACTGGGAGCGTGTGCGCGAGATGCGTGTCGCCGCTTGCGGCGACTCATTCTTTCGCCGGTGCGGACCATTGCGGCGGGCGGTGTTGGTCGATCAGCCTTCCGCGATATAGGAGACCGCTTCGAACAACAGAGGTGCAATCTTGGCCCAGGGCCAGTTCCTAATCATCATGCAAGACGACAAGGTAATGACCCAGATCGGATGGAACGTCCCCCTGTCCGTTCCCGCGCGGCTACATGACGACGTCTTCGGCATATCCGGCAACTGCGCGCAGGGATGGGCTGGATTTCCGAGAGTTAATGTGGGCCTGTGTAGGGATGTCCAGAGGGCTCGACCGCTCGACCCAGAATTGGTGAACAAGTCGGGCACCTTCTTCGCGCGGCCGACGGGGAACAGGGGCCCTCTCCTGTACAACGCCAGCAAGTTCAGGGCTGGCGTGGGATTCCTTCCGACCTCGGGGGAGAGCGGACACTCAGTATTGCCTGGCTCTCTTCTGATATTTGCGGCACTTCGCAGAAAACATAAACAAAACAAAACAACAAACAAACAAACAAACAAAACAACGCCGACCTGTCGGCGATGCATCGCCGATTCCAGGTCGATGTTCCAACATTCCCTGAGCCAGTCCCCCCTATTGTTGCTCCGCATCCAAGGGCGCATGCGCCGATCCCTGGCCAGGGCCAGGGCGCGACCAGTCCAGGGCGCAAGTGCCTGGACGACAAGGCCCCTGGCTTCTGAGCGCCCCGCACCGCCCCCGATCGGCAGCGAGACCCGGATCCTGCCCTTGCTGATCCCTGCTGGACAGCGGGCGTTAGGATCCGGAATCCGTCGAGCAAGCAGCGAAGTGTCCGAACCTTACCCCCGCATCCCATCGGTTCAGGAGAGTCGATGGTTGGTGGGGGTAGGATTCGCACACGTCGCCGCCTCGCAAGAGTGGCCTCCCCTGGCACCTCCTGGGGCCTCCTGGGGCCCCTTGGGATCTCGTGAGGCCTCCGGGGGCCCCCTGGGGCCTCCTGGCGACTCCTGGGGCCTCCTGGGCCCTCCCGGCACCTCCGGGGGGCCTCCCGGGGGCTGCCTGGGCCCGCCCGCCCCGCCCCCCGAGGAGCTGGCGGCGAAGCTCACGGAGCGGCAGGAGCGCTTCGAGCGCCAGCTGGCGGCGACGGGCGCCCCGCTGCCGCCGGAGGTGCTGGCGGCGGGCGAGGCTGCGGGGCCGCTCCCAGACCATGGTTCGCGTCGTTCGGGGGAGCGCGAGGCTCGAGCACAGGGGGGGCCCGTGCCAAGAGACACCCCGCTTGCCTCCAGGGTGCCCTGGGTGAGTCTCGGGTGAATTTCGAGGGGTCTGCGAGGGAGGGCATGGCGTTCCCACGCCAAAAATCAACGGACGTTGTGGGGTCTCGGGGTTGGGTTTCTTGTGGAAGGTTTCTTGTGGTCGGGCCCCTACTGTAACCTCTAGAAGTCTTCAGTCTTGACCCCACCCCTTGTCACTCGGCGGTGGATAGGACTGGTCCTAAAGCCTCTTCCTCCTTCTCCCCCCGCTCCCTCTCCTCCTTCCTCTCTTCCTCCTGCTCCTCCCCCTGCTCCTCCTGCTCCTAGCCGTTTCGTGTCGATCCCGTGTCGCAGGACGTGCGTTTCGGTCGCGCGCTCGCAACGGTCTCCTATGGCGGCGGCGCAAAAGCAGCGGAAGCTGTTGTCCTCGGCCATGGCGGCCGCCCGCGGGGCGGTGCTGGCGGCCCACTCGTCAGCGGGCCTCGCTCGGAACGCTGCAGGGGCGCGCCGCCTCCCAGCTGCAGCGTCCGCCCACGGCTGCTGCACGTGATGGTGATGGAGGTGGCGGAAGCGCTACCGGGTCGCCTGCTGCGCCCGCGCCGTCCCCGCCTGGGGCGCCACAGCCCAGGCGGAGGAGGCGCCGCGCTCGGCGTCGCCGAGCTGGGGCCGCGCGGAGCCGCCCGCTGGCGCGGGCCTCGCGCTCGTGCAGGCCGCCGCGGCGGCCGCCGACCCCTCCGACGGCGAGACGGACGACGAATGGGCCGACGGCCTTCGAGCTGGGGCTGGTACGGCCGGAGCGGGCGGCACGCCGTCGGCGGAGGCTGGTGCTGGCCAGAGCGGCGGTGGCGGTGGTGTGGCGCCTGCTGCTGGCGCTGGTTCAAGTGAGCTAAGCGAGAGGGCGACCCGCTGCTGCGAGCACCTCGAGGCGTTCGCGGAGGCGCGCAGGATCTCGCTCGAGAAGGCCCTCCTCGTCGTCCAGTGCGCTGCTCGTCGGCATGTGTAGGTCCGTCGACAAGGTGCGCGTGCACAGCTCGCACGACGTGGACGCCAGTGGCCAGGAGTTGCATTCCCTGGGCGGCGAGGGCCCCTGCGCGGCGCGGGGGTAGGCCGCCACATCGGCCTCCGCTGAGGCCGGGGCCCACCGCGGGCCCGTCGCGCGTCGCAGCGGCCTGCTCTGCGCGGGGTCGGGATCCGACCCTTCCTCGGAGGCGCGCTTTCCTCCTCCTCCTCCTCCTCCTCCTCCTCCTCCTCCTCCTCCTCCTCCGCGTAGCCCGCGCGGGCAGGCTACACGGGCCATCTCGGGGTTCTCCTTGGTTTCCGCGGGGCCTTCGTCCGCAGCCTCCTCGGAGCCTCCCTGGCGCCGTGCGAGGGCCGGGAAACGCAGCGTGCCGCGGCGGCCCGCACGGCCGCGCAGGAGCGGGGGTTGGCGGCGGGGGCGAAACAGGCGCAAGCGCAAAGGGCCAAGATGACGAACGAACAACACACACCCATACCCATAGGGGGGTCGCTGGGAGGAGGGTTGGCTATGGGTATGGGTGCGGGTTGTCGGACCCTGGGGAACGCTCTCGCTCGAATGGGGACCCCCATCCGACAACACGCACCCATAGCCCTCTCCGACCCCCCTATGGGTATGGGTGTGTGTTGTTGGTTCGTCACAAGAGGGCAGGGAAGAGGGAGCGATCGGGGAAACGTGAGATTCGAGTACGCGGGAACTCCGAGTTGCCGGCGCTTTTTGGCGAGCGCGTCCTGGGTTTCGGGGGGTCAGGCTCCGTGGGGTGTCTGCAGCAGGAGGTCGCGCAACATGTCATCCTGGGTCTGGTCATTCTCATGATGGCCTCGTCAGTCCAATCCGTGCTCCCGCAGCCGAATCCTCCGTCTCCCCGAGTCGTGGAAGAGCATGGACGGTGGTTGCATGTTTAAGCGATGGGCAGGTTCCCATACTGCTACCTTTCCCCCTTTTTCCCTTCGTCGCCACCGCTGGGCTCTCCTCGGGATTCTCTGGACAGAGCGCACCCCGGGACAGGTCCAGGGAGTGGCGGATCCTCTCCCAGACATACTCGCACTGCGAACATCGGCCAGGCGCAAAAAGGGGGTATGGGGCAGGGGAGAGGGTTTCTCAGGAGTACTTTACTAGTGAATTCAATTGGTTTTAGGGTTTTTATCAAATGGTCGCAGCCACGCAGAGGGCGTGCGTAGCGACGCCCCAAATGCTCGGTCTCCAGTACTTCTACGTGGCGGCGCCCCCGCAGGCACGCAGTGGGCACGCGTGGCGACGGGGGCGTCTCCACGCAGAGCTTCTAAAGACCAAACATTTTGAAAACCAATTGTTTCCACTACTAAAGTACCCCTGCCCCGTAGAAGGCGCGGGTTTTGTCTGGAGGTGAAAGGGCCAGCGCCTTGTGAGAGGCAGCCTTCGCTGAGAAGCCTTCCTCGCCGGTCGAAGCCGACGCTCAGCTCTCGCCCTCCAGAGTTTAGACGCATCCTGCCCCATTGATGTTCTGGTCGTCTCTAAGTTCGGAGGCGGCACACTTTGTGGCTTATGTTCCTCGTCGTCGTCGTTTCGTCGTCCACGCCGCGGGCGTGTGCCCCACGCCCCAGGAGCCCTTTTCAGGCCGCAAGACCATCAAAATCAGATCCGGGATGAAGGAAGGAGGCCGGAACCTCCTGTCCTTCGCAGCTCCTTTGTGCAAAAGCCAGGGCGCGCGTGCCACCTGTTTGCCAGTTTCTTGGTTTTCTTTCGCAAGTCCCCGGTGGTGTTGTGAGCGGGCGTCGTTGTAGTTCGACCAAGTTGGGCGTCGGATGGAGTGACCGCCGCTGCGCGCATTTCCCTTCCAGGAATTCGCTGTGGAGGGTCGACGACGGTGGTTTTTGAGTGAAATGCGGGCCAGGAGAAAAAATAAACGAACATTCCGAACCATGATGTGTATGTATATAACTTCTTCGCCGGTCGAAGACGAATTTTCAAAGCATGATTGGTGTTACCAGTCGACATCCGACTTGTCAATCCACATTTTTCTGCGTTTGTGCATGTTTGGTACATTTCTGCTGTTCAATAACATTCGTTTGTTTGTTGGAAGAGCCCGTCTTCAATAGACGCAGCCGTGGGATCTGGGGACCTCGTCGCCGCGGGAGGGCGCACGGCCACAATGGCAGTGGGCTCAACCGGGGAGGGGGTACAAGCGTAATCGGTGAGTGAGCTGCGCGCCTGCAGCCAGGAGTGAATGCGCGGTCTGCGCGGGGCCACGGCAGGCGTGTTCCACGCGTGGGTGCGGATCGAGACGTACTTTTCCAAATGTGTTCCAAATTGCTTACAAGGGGCGTGGCGCCTCCCCTGTCATGGTTCGTTACTTACTTCCACCCTCACCCTACCCATGTTCGTGTCGTGAACAAGGCAGGGGGAATGTTGTTCGTCATTTTCGGCCCCTGTGGGCCCTCACTGGTCCCTGGTGCCGTCAAAAACTAGAAAGGTTGAGAAGCCTATCCTGGGGAAAGGATCGGGATTTCCGGGGACAGCTTGTTGGAAACATGAGGACGTCGCACGTCGCGTCCATGAACAAGGATCTCTTGTTTGTTGAAGATACCCCATTGAGCATTTTTCCAGATACCATACCAAGGATCTTCTTAGTAAGGACACCTTAGTAAGGGCTCCTTTTCAAAGGATCCTATTATGTGAGACGTTCGCGGTTGTTCAGGATCCCGTCTACGATTTTCTTCCCGACGGATTCGTTCATACGGATTCTTTCCCAAGGGTTCCTGATCAATGGTCGTGCCCTAAGGGGTCGCAGTCGGATCCGCGATTAAGGCATCCTAAATGAGGGTTTTTTTTCGCACGGGTCTCTTCATTTGAATCCGTCACGTCATATCTTCTACGCGGGAGTTCAGAACAACGATTCTTTACGACGGGTTCCCCAAGTACGGAGCTTCTGTCAAGGATTCCTTAGTATTATCACCCTTTGTGTGGAAGTCTGCCTACGGGCTCCCTCCGTAAGGATCCCAGATTCGGACGTCTTAGTACAGATTTTTGTCTCCCGGTTTTTTCCTGAGATTTTGTCAAGTCGGTCAAATGGTGAGCAAAGTTAACGAGAGATGCGGGTACACCGATATGCCCGCGTGGACCCTCTACTCTCTCTCTCTCTCTGTCTCCCTTTGTCTCTCTCATTATTCATATATATATATATATCTCTCTCTCTCTCTTTCTGTTCTGCCCCAAAGAACAACGTTGGGAACGAAAGCCCCCGCTTGTGCCCCGAAGCTCTCACCGACACCTCTCTGCACCCCGCCCCGCTTGGCCCCGACGAGCGACGACACCTACGAGGAGTACACCGACGACGTTGGGGCCCGATGGGTCGTTTCCCCACCCCGGCTCCCCAAGCGGCACCTCCGCCACAAGAGGTGGGCGCGGCGGGCGCCAGTAGCCCCGCGCCCGGACGGACAGCCCACTACAATTGTTGGGTTTGTCGGTTTCTTCTCCTCCCCGGCGCCCTCAAGTTTCCGCGCAGCTCCGATTAGTGTCAGCTTGTGGTTAACCAATGATGAGCCCCCCCCCCGGGTGGCTGATGAAAAGACCCCGCGGGGCGTGGCAATTTGTTTCTTATCACGCGCGCGACGGTATCCTAGCGGGCGCCGCCGAAGGGATCGTGTACACCCCGTCGCGGCAGCCTCACAACAATTGCGTGCCGTATGGAAGTTGATATAGGGATCCTATATATCTGAGGCGAAGATTTCCCCCCTCTCGGAAAGATTACAGACGTGCCACAATCGTCGTGTCGTCGTGGTCGTCGCCGTCGTCGTCGTCGTCGATTGTCGTCGTTGACGTCGCTCGTCGTCGACGTCGTCGTCGCCGTCGTCGTCGTCGTCGGCGATTGTCGACGTGAACGCGGACCTACTGGGGTGTACGCCCACCCCCGATGGTGCATCTGCAATGCGTCGTCCTCTGCTGTCGCCGTCGCCGTCGCTTTCACCGTCGTCGTCGCTCGTCGCTCGCCGCTCGCCGCTCGTCACTCGACGTCGTCGTCGTCGTCGTCCGCCGTTGTCATCGTCATCGTCGGCGTCGTCATTTTCGTCGTCGTCGTCGCCGCCGTCGGTCGTCAGCCGTCGTCGTCGTCTTGGACGTCGTCGTCGTCTTGGTCGTCGTCGTCGTCTTCATCGTCGTCGTCGTCGTCATCGTCGAGCTGTCGACTGCAGCAAGGGCCTACACATTACATCCCCCCCATGGGAGGGCACCTGTAGTGCGTCATCGTTCGCCGTCGACGTCGCCGTCCGCCGTCGCCGTCGCCGTCGCCAGTCGTCATCTTCGTCGTCGTCGTTTTCGTCGTCGTCGTCGTTGTCGCGTCGACTACAGCTACAGTGGGCCTACCCGGCACCCCCCCTCATGGATCACTTGCAGTGTGTCGTCGTCGTCGTCGAAAGGCGCAGTCGCCGTCGTCGTCGCCGTCACGTCGTCCTAGTCGTCGTCGTTGTCGTCGTCGTCGTTGTCGTCGTCGCTCGCAGCTGAACTCGCAGCGAGCATCCTCAGTGCGTCGTGGTACGTCGTCGTCGTCGCCATCGACGTCGACGACGACGTCGACGATTGCAGCGGACATACGCGCAACCCCTGCCACCCCCCCATTTAGCATCCGCAGATCGTCGTCGTCACCTGTCGCCGTCGCCGTCGCCGTGCGTCGCGCTTGTCTCCCCCCTACTTTCTGCCGGGCCTCGGCCAATCACCGGCGCCGCCGCCGCGTGTTTCCATGTGGCGGGTGCGCACCCCGCGATTCGCCCCAGCAGAGGAATTATCTTTTAAATCGCGCGCCCCGCCTGTATTGGTTTATCACAAGCTGACACTCGCTACTTGGATGGTCGTCTCTCGGAGTTTGGGCGTTCTGGTCTTGAGGTTGAAGAGGCGGGAAGGATCCTGGACCGCAAGCTCCGCGCTGTGCGGTCCAGAACCTCTGACCCAAACCTGTGGTGTTGGAAGGCTCCAGCCTGGTCCGCCGACGTGTCCGAAACGACCCTCTCGTGTATGCGACGGGCCCGAAGTGCCTTGCGCTCACTACAGGCTGAGGATGGGGGGGGGGCTCGCCGCCCCTCTCTGCCTCCTTTGTCCGCCTCGCCTCCAGGGCTCATTTCGATTCCTCCGACTCGATCCGGTTCGTTTTCGATCGATGTGTGGGTTCCGACTTGGTCGTCGTGTTCTCACTGGGGGCCTTAACGGCTGGCCGATCTCCGCCGGCTCGGCGCCTCCCGGCTGGGATCCTGCTCCCCTCCCATCGCTGACCCGACTAAACTCAGGAGGGAATAAAAACACACAGACATAATTAATTGTCGATTCCCCAGAAAATGTGGAACATTTGGGCAGTGGGGGTGGGAAACAGAAACCCAGAAAATATGGGAACATATTTTGTTTGTGTGTATTTATTTGTGTGTCCCAGGGCCCCTTCATAAACGACTCGATATTCGGGGTTCGCCTGCCCCCCTCCTCCCAGACTGCCGCCGCCGCAGCTCGCTTCAGTGCGATCCCACGTCCACCCCGTCGCCCCGAGCCCTTCCTTCCCGTCTGGGAGTCCTGGGGATGGCTCCAGTCCGGGTCTGGAGGAAGGGGGGGGGTCGGAACGGGGAGGACGGGGAGGAGTGGATTGGGAAGGCCCTGATTTCCTGCCCTTTTCCCCTCCGAATCCCTCGCCCCTTCCCTTCCTCTCTGCGAGGGGCCCGAGACGCCTCCCCCCTGCCCAGCGCTCGGCGCCGCGCTGCGGCAGCCGCCGCCCGCCCCCCCCCCCCCCCCCCCCGAGGCGAAGTTGGCCGACCGGGGCATCCCCGCCGCCGAGGTGGCTGCTTCCTCCTCCTCCTCCTGCTCCTCCGTCTCCTCCTGCTCCTCCCCGTCGTCGTCCTCCCTCTTTCCTCCTCGCCGTCGTCGTCCTCCTCCTCATCGTACTCCTCGTCCTCTTCCTCCTCCTCCTTCTCCTCCTCCTCATGCTCCTGATGCTCGTCCCCGTCCTCGTCCTCCTCCTCCTCCTGCTCCTCCCCGTCGTCATCCTCCTCCTTCTCCTTCGCCTCGTCGTCGATATTCTCCTCCTCCGCCTTTTCCTTTGCATCGTACTTCTCCTCATCTTCTTCCTCTCCCTTCTCCCCCTTCTCCCCCTCCTCTTCCCCCCCCTCCCCCTCCTCCTGCTCCTCCTCCTTCTGCTCCTCGCCGTCGTCGTCCTCCTCCTCCTCAACGTCGTCCTCCTCCTCAGCATCCTCCTCTTCCTCATCGTACTCCGCCTCTTCCTCGTCGTCGTCGTCCTCCTCCTCCTCATCCTCCTTACAGTCGTCGTACTCCGTTTCCTCCTCCTCTTCCTCCTCTGGTTTCCTCTCCTCTTCTTCCTCATATTTCCCCTCTTCTTCCTCCCGCTGCCCCCCCGTCTCTGACGTTGCATAGTTGGGTGGCCCTGTCTATCCTGTAACTGGCAAAATGTTCCTAGACGCGGATTTGTCGCGTTCGACATGGACTCGACGCAGACTTGACTGACGATGCACCGTTTGACCTCTAGGGGCCCCTTTTTTGCCATTGCGCTAAAACGCAGCATCATCACACTGGTAGCGGAGCTACCACGCGATCCCAGTCTCGTGCCACCGCGCGCTGTCTCGTCAGAGAGTGTCGCACTAACCCTCTTTACTTTCTGTGCTGGCAGTTTCCCTCGCTAGGGGACTGAGCCTTGCGCCATGACATTTTCATTTCTTCGCTATCGGCCGAGCGCCGACGCGCTGACGAGGTCCGACACGAAGAGTGGCTCCTACATCCACGACGGCACGGTGAACAACTTTCACGAGTGGAACTTCCGCACCAAACTGCGCATGCGTGCCGCCTTGGCCTCCGTGGATCAAGAGACGCGGGTGCACCGCAGCAACACGTGATCATCGCAGCTATCAACAAAGTTGCAGAAGGCCTCAGAGGTGACGAATTCGATATTGCCATGGATATCGGTAGTGACGCGCTTCGGACTCCGAATGGGATCGATCAGCTGGTGCTGGCGATCCGTATGTCACTCTTCCCCGTAGAGGCCCAGGAAGCGAATCTCATGTTCCAGGTGTGGCAGAGACCATATGGACCACTGTCTCGGCAGCACGGTGAGTCTATGGTCTCGTACATCTCTCGAAGGAAGCGCCAGAGTAAAATTGCCTTCAAGTTAGATCCTAAGATCTTGATGGGCGATATGCTTGGCTCCCTTCTCTTGGACCACGCAGGCCTCTCGCCTTCGGAGAATCTGATGGCGTTGATACCCGCAGGAAGTGAGACACTCTTCGACAGCACCAAGGACGTTTTGATCCTCCAGCACGGCCGCATACACATCCGCCAAAACGGTAAGGGCGGGTCTGGTAAAGGCTCCAGTTCTTCGACGTGGACGCAGCCCAGACAAGGGCAATAACAAGGTGCTCTTCTCCAGGCCACAACACGCCTGCTACGCTGCTGATGATGGATGGTGTGAGCAGGAGGAGCATTACCCTGAGGAACTGAGTCCCTACGGGTACTACGCGTCCGGCTACGCGCCAGAGCACGGCTGGGACGACGCGGCCTGGGACGATTGCGCCGACGAACACACCTACGTCGACGAGGAATTGTATGCGCACTGGGCTCCTGTCCAGGATGGCAGCGAGCTCGACGTCGAGGTCGTCGACGAGATGGTCGAGGCCGGTCACATTGAGGAAGAAGCTTCTGCGCGATCCAAGAGGACCTGGTCGCCAATCTCGGCGCGACAGGGAAGGGCAAGGGCGCGGGGAAGAGCGGGGCAAGGGCGGCGCGCGCCCTGGTCGCCCAAGGGAGGCGGCGAGGGAGGACCTTCCCTGGAATATCGCAAGAAGCGGCTCCAGGACGTCAAGAAACGTGCGAAACGGAAGGCCTGCCACGAAACAGGCTTCTGGCCCGGGAACCCTGAATGCAAGAGCAAGTCCAGGGCGGGAGCGGTAGCGTTCACAGGAGACACTTGTGAGCGCCATGTCCAGTTGCGCGAAACGATGACGATTGAGAGTTCGCATCCGTCAGTTCTGTTGTTGCAGCATCATCAACCCCTCATCGTATCATTCGGAGCAAGGAGAAGTCGATGAGGATGGATCCTGGTGTTCCTCGTTTGTGTTATTCTTTCTCTTCTCGAGCCGTGCGCCGCAGGGCGCGCGCGCGAGGGGGGGGGGGGTGACGGGCAGCGCAGCTCGCAGCGCAACCACGTTGAGACTCATGTCTGCGTGACTTGCTCGGGGGTGGCCGAAGCCGCTCCGGTTCGCGGGCCGCCGGAGCTTCAGGAGAAGAGTCTTCAGACCTCTGTGGGCCCATGGCTGTTCGCTCCACCGCATCTTACTCTATGGCTCGTGTTTCTGATGGAGAGTTGGAGGAGATTTCGGATCCTATCTCTGTTCCTGGTCAGGGTGCTGCGTTTGTTTCGAGTCAGCACAAAGGGCTTAGCTATGGTCGCGTTCTCAGGGATATCCCAGATTGCGTGGGTCGGGGTCGCAAAGGGAAGAAATCAAGTGGGGATCGGGTTGTGTTCTCAGGATGGGCCGCTAGCAACTTTGCCCGGAAGGAAGATGGACAGTTTGCGAGAGTTGCGGGGCCGAAAGTTTCCAGTGGCAAATCTTTGCCTTCTTCGAGTTCTTCTTCTGGCCTGAACGGGAAATCCCCGAATCCCCTTTTTCCTCCTCCATGTGCTCGAGGTTAAAAGAATCTCTCGGGGGTCGATTCTAGCGCTCGTTTCGCTGTTCGCACCTGCAAGGATTGCGGGCGCAAGACCAAGAAGCAAGAAGGAGAACGCGCGGCGCTGCGCTCTCTGGGCGAGTGTCCGCGCGATTTCGTGGACAATCGCGGCAGCGCTCCAGGTGTTGTTCGCGTTTATTGTTGTCGTTGCTTGACGCGCGTCGATGAGCAGCCCAGGAAGCGAGCAGAAGACGAGACAGCAACAGCTGAGACAGTTGAACGCTCCAACAACCCCCAAGCAGGAGCAATTGAACATATCTTTGAGGATGATCGCCGCATCACCTCTATAGAGCTAAAGCTTATACTCGAGGCCTTCACAGAACGTGCTGTTGAGATTTGCGATGATACGGGTGACATTAGCACAGGTGAACTAATTTCTTCGCCCCCCCCGACTGTGTCGCAGAGGTCGCAGATCACAGCCTTGTCGGTTTTATGGCTCCAACGCAGAACGCTGCAACAGAAGTATCGGCTCCTTCTAAGTTTCGCACGGCTGATGTTTTCAAGGGCGACGGTGTTTGGGCTGCGCTAGACGAGGGTTGTATTCCTTGTTGTCGCGGTAGAACTTGGACTCTTAACGAAGATGATAAATTCGAGACATTGGGTTTCTATCCTGGATGGGTTCACAGACAGCGCAAGACGTGCACCGGCAGATGAGGACAGACAGGGTGTGAGACGACAGGTAAGAAGAGCTTCCGTGTCGCATCGTTGCTTCTCGTGGCGCCGCGAGTGGGTGTCTCGAGTCGCATCAGTTGAAAGATTCGGATCGTGTTCCTCTCTTTTTGTGTCTGCTTGCACAGGCTTCCCTCGGTCTCGCGAGGGGCGTTGCCAACGGTTGCGCTCTCTTGAGTCAGGGCGGCGAGGTAGAAATGCGCTGTTGTGCTCGCCCAGGTCTTCTCATCATCCGTCTTGATCAGTTTGGCCCAGAGCACGTTGCGGAGCCCATTCGTCCGTTGCACATTTCGTGCCAAGCAGCTTGTGTCCAGCCGTGCTGCGCAGCTTCCACCGGCCGCGCTGCGCCGCCTGCTGTCGCCGCGCCGCCTGCTGTCGTCGATCGCTCCAGTGACGGCGGGGTCACGTGTGTCCCTCCGCCCGTTGATTACTCCAGCGACGATGAGAGAGCACGGGTCGCTGCCATGTTTGTTGGCGCTGGTGCTCGCCCCACGCCGCAGGCCCCAAGTTTGCTGCGATCGCGCTGGGCTTGGAGAACTTCGAGAACAACCCGAGGTGCACGGGGTCGACGATACTGGCGGAGTACATCCGCAGTCATCACCTCTCCAGTCACGAGATGACTACCAGTGGACGCGACGGCAATGCCATCATAGATGCGCTCGTTGCTGCATATGAGAATATGGCAAACTATGATCGGTATGTGGGTGGACACCAGGGCTCCGAACGACCCGACTCACGCTCGCCATATCGGTCATCGCCCGGATATTTTGCGCAATGCAGTTGGTAATGAACATTATGTTGGCATCGTTGAGTATGCGGGGAGATCTTTGTCGAAGAGCACTTCTTCACAGTTTGTATGCATTGTTGCCATCGGCCTTGCTGGTCTTCACCGCTCTGTTGCTGTCAGTTATGGCGTTCAGTTCTTGAGGCAGTACGACATTGAATGCAGTTCTGCACGCCTGAGTCGACATGAGTGGCCCGAACCTTGCTGCAATGGAGAATGTGATGACTGCTGTCACTTATCCAATTGGGCCAGTGAGATGCGAATTTTGCGGCTGACAAGATGGCTCCGCTCTTTACAGAATCTTTCGAGATGTTCAGTGAACCACCGTCTTCAGTTCCTGGGCCGCCTGCGAAGCGCAGACCCGGTGACGGGGGTGAGCTGGCCAGGAGGGAGGAGAAGAGATCTCGTGCTTCATCGAGTGCGGTTGAAGGAGTAGATGATGAGGACGTGGCCACTGTCATCCGCGAACACATCAAAACGATCTCGCGCGAGCGTCTCGGCGCTGACTATTCCTGGGTGGATTTCAAGACCATGATGAGGCGATATGTTGGGCGCGAGCTGCAATGATATTTGAAGATCTGCAACGAGGACAAGAGGTCGCCTGCAGATTATATGCGATTTGCAATGCTGGTGAGTATGCAGAAACCGGT